CGGAGGGTCAGTGCCGAGGGAGCGCCGCACTGTCGGAGGGTCAGTGCTGAGGAAAGGTCAATCGAATCTGAGGTGACGAGTGAATGTCAGACTCCAGTCACCGAATCGTGAGTTGGACCAACTACCTGATAGACAGCCATCTGAGTACAGAGAGAGATAGAGAAAGAAGAAATAGCCTTTGTGCTGAAAAGGATGAAGTGAAGAGAAGCTCCCACCTTGGTGAACGCATCTGTATTTTTGTAAGAACTGTGATGAGTTTTGTCAAGTAATTTCTGTTTCTGTTTCAGATTTTCAGCATGTGTAGTTCTTTGTTTTATATTAGATTGATCAATCCACTGGGCACAGCTGGTATTCACTGTTGGCTTTATTTTGTGTAGTTTGCTAATTCTGCCATTTTCCTCCTTCGCGTTAGAGGTTGTGAAATGTTCAAGTTAATATTTAGATTGAATTTGCCAGAAGCATAAATGATGTGGACAGGACACTATCAGAATAATGTCAGTATTTGCAAATACCAAATTAGCAACTGGAGGATTTTGGATTTGTGGGCTCCAGATATATGAGACAGGCAGTTAACTCATCATAAGTTGTATTCAGATTGTTTATTTAAATTTATTCAGACATAGCAGTTAGGATCTGATCCATTAATAGACAGCAAAGGTATATCATCAGTGATTATTAGTTGTGGCTCACTGAGACCAGACCAGGAATGGACAGTTGGTGCACAGTCTGTTGCTCCCAGTGACTTGTGAAGGCAGCCTCATGCTCTCTTTAGCTGAAGTTGGAGAACTCTCCTTGGGTCTTCCTCCACCTTCCCAGCTCCATCTTCCACCTGAAGAAGCTGGCTGCTGAGCGAGCTCTGTCCCTGTCTCCGAGAGGTTGGTAATAAACTTTCTTTCCAGGGGCTGTGAGTTGACCGTGTGACAATCACCCTCCACCCGACAAATGCAGGAGAGCAGTCAGGATGGTCAGCTCCCTCTCCGTCCATCTCCTGCTCCAGGTCAGACTTTATGTCCATTTCAAACATTCCATCAATAATGGGGATGTTGAGGGTGACAATTAACTCCCTATCATCAATCAGGAATGTAGGGACTTTGGTCCAGGGGAGTTCGACCATTGTGACTTTTCACTTTATCTCGTCTTGGGCCCTGGATGTTTAAAATTGGTTATGAATTCCCAGAGGGAGAGATATCAGGTAATTTCATAAGAATTAAATACCATTCATAAAGCACTAGCTCATTAAGGATCCGAACTTCTTACATGGCTTAGCAAATTTGGAGAATGAACTGAAGTGGATTTAGGTCAAGATTGACTAAGTCATAGAATCAGATGTGTGGATGTAGGCCATTCAGCCTGCACCAACCCTCCAAAAAGCATCCCACCCAGACTCACCCCCACCATATCCCCCCAAACCCTGCATTTCCCATGGCTATTCCACCTAGCCTGCACACAAGGGGCAATTTGGCATGTCCAATCCACCTAACCTGCACAACTTTGGGAGAAAAGTGGAGCACCCGGAAGAAACCCACACAGACACAGGGAGAATTTGCAAACTCCACACAGACAGTTGCCCGAGGGTGGAATTGAACCCAGGTCCCTGGCACTGTCAGGCATCAATGCTAGCCACTGTGCCGCCCTAACATGGAGAAGTGTGGAACTTTCCAGAAAAGCAAGGGATCTCACTTAGTAAAACTATCAGGGAGGTGGAGGTGCAGAGACAGCCTGGGGTGTCTGTGTGAGACTGATGGGCACGGCTGGCCTGAGGGGTAGTGCCTGAACTGAACTCACTGAGCAGACAGAGTGCTTCAGTGCCACATTCCACACATTCATATTCCACCCCCTCAAGGCCAACACCCCACAAGCTGCCAGTGCAGCAAGTCCCAAAAGGACCAGCATGATTCATAGAGTCACAGACACCAAGAGGCCACTCAGCCAACCATTACTTTCCTGGAAACGTGATCCTCAACCCACGGGGCAATGAACGGAGGAGGTGTAGGTGAACCTGTACATTGTGTGGGTTACAATGAAGAAAAGTGTGTTATTTTGTTTTTCTGATTATATGATGGGCCAGAAGTAATGTAGATTCACTCTGATGACATTACTTGGTGTCCTATGGCTATGGAAGAGATCTGGACAGGGAATTGTTCCAGTGGAGGTGCTAAGGTGAAATGTATCAGAACTTTCTAAGCTTTTTTTGAGAGGGTTTGAGAGAGCACTTTGTGAAGGATCATCTTCACTGGCTGGTGACTTGAGGTAGACACAAGAGGTAATGTAATGCTTTGTTACACAGTTACTGCATTGAGGTAGTGAGAGGAAACTCCTGGTAAAGAGATGGAGAGTTTGGGGACAGAGAGGGAAGGGGATTAGAGAGTAAATGATCTGATGTAGCATTAACACCACCTCGAGGATGTTGGGCTAAATGGCTCCTGTGTTGTATATGCTCTTGTTCCATATTTTGTGAAAGTGTGCATGTAAATTGAAGTTTAAAAACCAGATTTGGGTTTGCAGAGAACAGTTTTGTTGTTAGACCTAAGGTGCTGTCATTAATCTTTGTTTTTTTCCAATCCTTCAAACAGGGTGATGTACGTTTCCACTGCCATGAATTCCTCCACAAGGACAGGCCATTCTATCCCATAACCTTCGCAACACAAGCCAGTTTTATCCAGGTGCCAGGAATACCGATGCTGAACCAGCTATCTGTCAACTTCAGTTTCCGATCTTTAGACACAAGTGGCTTGCTTCTTTTCAGCAACTTTTCTGAGGGTCTTGGCTGGCTGGAGATGGGTTTAAGTGAAGGACAAATCAACATCTCATTCCAACAAACTGGCAAGAAAAGACTGGAGTTTGCTGCAGGTAGAGCATTTGGAAAAATCCCCCATGTTTTCTGAAATAAGATCCAAAAGTGTTGGAGAAACTCAGCAGGTCCAGCAGCATCTGTGCAGAGAGAAACAGAGTTAATGTTTCCTGTCCAATGAGACTCTTCTTCAGAACTATCGTCTTTTTCTTTTCTGTCTCAATCTCCCAGCCACTGGGCCTCGATGCTGCCCTCGTGGTGGAGTCTGGTTGTGGCGCTGGAACAATTGTGAGGAATTCTTTAAACTGCCCCCTGATGCTGTTTAGCTGGAAGCTGTGAGTCTGTGATGCAAGTGCTTTCTCTGTGTGTCCCTCTGACACTTTGCTGAAATAAGTGCGTGAATAATGGGCCATGGGTCGCGGTCCTGAGTTACACATAGTCAATGGTCGGGGAAGAGGAATGATAATGGGATGTGTTTACAGAACAATGAGCTGGTTGTTTATTTTGAATTTTGACTGAAATGATGTTGTGTGGAATGTTGTTGTTGATGAATTATATGGAGTTATTTAGTTACTCAGCTCTCTCTTTGGTGGACTAGGTTCAAACTTGACTGATGGACACTGGCATTCAGTTCAGCTGCTAGCCCGAATGGACTCTGTTGTGATTGTTATTGATGAGAGGGAGGATTCACCAGTACGAATCAATCACGCTTTACGGGTGCAGACTGGTGATCAGTACTACTTTGGAGGTGGGTGGTTCATTTTCTTTTATCAATTTCTTTTACTGATGTTTTCTTTGAGAAAGTAACATTTGTGCCATGCAGGTACCAGGTAACAACCAACAGGAGAGAATTTAACCTTTATCCTTTGATATTCAATGGCATTACCATCACTGAATCCCCTACCATCAACCTCCAGAGACTCAACTGGACCAGCCAATTATTACAGCAGTGAGTAACTTTCCTCCTTACTCCCCAAAGCCTGTCTACCATCTACAAGGCACAAGTCAGGAGTGTGATGGAAAACTCCCCAGCTACCTGGATGGGTGCAGCTCCCACAAGAACCTTGATACCATCCAGGACAAAGCAGTCCATCTGATTAGCACCACATGCACAAGCTCTGACTTTGCTCAGAAATCTGTTGTGTGGGACTGTGTCAAAGGCCCTTTTGGAAATCCACGTACACTGTATCCACAGTATTACCCCTCATTAACCCCCTCTGTTACTTCACCAGCAAAAAAAGTAAGGTTAGTTACACACTTTGTTCCATTAAGAAAAGCCAGTTTGGATTTTTTAAATTAACCCACATTTGTCCAGAAGTATTAATTTTGTGTTGAATTATCATTTCTAGAAGTTTCCTCAGTATTGTGCTTAAACTGCCTGCCTGTAGTTGCAGCCCTTATTTTTAGACCTTTTTCTAAATAAGGGTGTAACATTTTAAGTACCCAGTCTCCTGACACTGCCCCTCAGCTTAAGGAAGACTGAAAGATTATAACCAATGCCTTGGTAATTTCCATTCTCACTTCCCTAAGTATCCTTGGAGATCTGTCATCCAGTCCTATTGGTAATTGACTACGTTTAAGTTCAGTACTCTCATTGTTGAAATATTGAAATCGAAATTGAAATTTTAAAAACATTTTTAAAAATTGAAATATTATTCTTGGAATCAAAATGCTTTGTTCTCCAGAGAATGCGTCACTGTAATTATTAATTAACTCTGTTTCGTTATATCGAACAAGATTGAAAATAAGATAATTGTAAATGCTGTATTTACTCTGTCCTACCTTTTCATAATTTTAAATATTCTATCAAATTACTTCACGGTTTCCTCTTGTAACAAAAATAGTCCCAGTTTTCCAAGTCTTCATTTCTTTCCGGTCAGACTCCACCCAGCTCCCTCTCTAAAATCTCAAAATCGTTTTGATAGTCTGGATTGCAAAACTGCATCCAGTCACTAATTCGCTAAGGTTTACACACGACTTATCCATTTGATTTTCATGTTTTGGCTCCTACTGTGCCATTGACCTTTACTGCAAATAATTTTTTCAGGAAATTAAGTATTTAAAATATTTCTCACCTTTTTTTAATCAATTTGCAATTAGTAATTCCAGTCCCCGCTTCTTGTATACACTCAAAATGAAGTCTTTGTTAAATATTTCCACCATTTGCTCATTTATTCTCCTCAATATTCTCAGCCCACAGTTAACATTTTAAAGTCTCTCATTTGACTCATCCATCTAATATTTCATTTTTCATTTTCATTTGTAAAAGATGCTCACATTCTTCTTCCTTACTTTCATTTTTCTTCTTCATAAATTCATTTAGTTTTTGTTATTCTTGTTTTGGCTTCATAATGTTCTGTCTTTATTTCAATTTGTTTCTAACCTCATTTTTTATCCATGGTATTAGTGCGTCTTAACATAGCTGTCTCTTTCAGCCATATGTGTTATGCTTTTCAAACGAGACTTCTGTTGAAAATTGAGTTCTTTCTCTGTCTCTATCACATTAACACACACCCTCACTTTCTGCTCTAATCATCGTAGGCTGCCCCACAAGTGTAAAGAACTTGGGATGTTTTTCAAATGTGAGTATGTTCCATGGCTGCATGCAACACATTCATGTGGACAATTATCTTGTGGATCTGGAGCTAGTAAAAAGACGCCAACTAGGAAGATATGCAGAGATGCTGTTTAACACGTGTGGAGTTGCAGACAGGTGGGTGAAACAAATGAATCAAAATAAATCAAAACTGGGAAACAACTGACAAGGTGAGTGACCCTTACCCTGAATAAACACTGATTCTGTACAGTTACACAGTGAGTGACCCTTACCCTGAATAAACACTGACTCTGTACAGTTACACAGTGAGTGTCCCTTACCCTGAATAAACACTGACTCTGTACAGTTACACAGTGTGTGACCCTTACCCTGCTGAATAAACACTGACTCTGTACAGTTACACAGTGAGTGACCTTTACCCTGAATAAACACTGATTCTGTACAGTTACACAGTGAGTGACCCTCATCCTGCTGAATAAACACTGACTCTGTACAGTTACACAGTGAGTGTCCCTTACCCTGAATAAACACTGACTCTGTACAGTTACACAGAGAGTGACCCTTGCCCTGAATAAACACTGACTCTGTACAGTTACACAGAGAGTGACCTTTACCCTGAATAAACACTGACTCTGTACAGTTACACAGAGAGTGACCTTTACCCTGAATAAACACTGACTCTGTAGTCAGACAACTTTTTATAACCAAAATCCTTCTCAGCACAGAATTAGTTGTTGGAATTATTTACTGTTTCATTCTAGCAGTGTTTTGTTTTCATAATTGACAGATGTACCCCAAATTTGTGTGAACATGAAGGAATTTGTCTGCAGACTTCAGATAATTTTGTATGTGATTGCGAGAGAACAGGATACACAGGCCCAACCTGCCATAACTGTGAGTAGTGTTCTGTTAGCGGCTGTGTGATGGGAGCAGTAGTTTGATGGGGACAGTACTGAGGCAATTAGGTGATGGAACTAAATGTAATATCTCTAAGTTTGCAAACAAAACTGCTTGGGCGGGTGAGCTGTAAGGAGGTGGCAAAGATGCTTCAGTGTGATTTGGGGAAGTTGAGTGAGTTGGTAGATGCATGGCAGATGAAGTATAATGTGGATAAATGTGAGCTTATCCACTTTGGAAACAGAAACAGAAAGGCAGATGATTATTTGAATGGCAATAGGTTGGAAAGTTTTGGGATGGTGCTGTGGGGGTGTACGTTGAGACCTGGGTGTCCTTGAACACCAGTTTCTGAGGGTAAGCATGCAGGTGCAGCACATGGTGAAAAGGGAAATGGTATGACGGCCTTCTTAGTGAGAGGTTTGAGAAAAGGAGCAGGGGTGTCCTACTGCAGAGGTGCAGGGCCTTGGTGAGACCATACCAAAAGTATCAAGTGCAGGGTTGGTCGTCTTATCTGAGGAAGAATGTTCTGGTGAAGGAGGGTGTGCATTGAAAGTTTACCAGACTGATTCTGGGATGCGTGAAGAGAGATTGGATTGGTTAGGACTATATTCACTAGACTTTAGGAGAATGAGGGAAGATCAAATGGAAATATATCAAATTTTAATTCTAAGGATTAGACAGGGTAAATGCAGGAATGATGTTCCCAATGACTAGAGAGCCCAGAAGTAGGAGTCATAGTTTAAGAATGTGGGGTAGGCCATATAGGGCTGGGATGAGGAGAAATGTCTTCCCCAGAGAGTGATGAATTCCACAGGCTCACTAACACAGGACACAGGTGAAGCCAGAACATTGACTGCTTTCAAAAAGGAATTAGATATAGTTCTTGGGGCTAAAGGGATTAAAGGGTATGGAAGAGAGTGGGACCAGGGAACGAGCTGGATGATCAACCACGATCCTATTGAATGGTGGAGCAGGCTTGGAGGGCTGAATGGCCTACTCCTGCTCCTATTTTCTATGTTTCTCACCATTAAAAATGTAAAAAATTAGATACACAGTGAGTGAGCCATATACTGAATAAAGAGAGATTCTGCACAGTTACTTACAGAAGAGCACGTACAGTAGCGATGGCAGGATGGTATTGCTGATGCAGCTGTGTTGAAACCTGGAGTAAATCAATGACTATGATTGTGTTTCTCTCCTAATCACACCATTCCATCTTCCCAACCATTCTTCCTCCCTCTGTCTTCATCACCCTCCCACACCCTTCTTGCAATTCTGTGCTAGCCCTCTATCCTGAGTCATGTGAAGGGTACAGAAAACTGGGCGTGCGAACATCTGGGAACTACACTATTGACCCTGATGGGAGTGGTCCTTCCAGACCCTTCACTGTTCACTGCAGAATGACAGGTATTTCTCATGTTTCACCTGGACCAGCACAGGCACCATACTGCTCCAGCAACCTCCTGCTTCATGCCTTCATTGGTCCCTGCTGCACCGTTACCCCAGTGTGGGGTATCACTGGTCCCTGCTGCACCGTTACCCCAGTGTGGGGTATCACTGGTCCCCGCTGCACC